TGAACTGTGTTCTTCACTGAGGATAGCTTGAACATAGAAGACTCAGAGCCCACCCCCACGGTCCTATACTTCCTCCAACAAGGCCACACCTCCTAATAGTGCCACTCTCTCTGGGAGCCATTTTCTTTCAAACCACCACAACCCTTTGTCCTTTAAGTTGCTTTTGTCTGGATACTTTGTCGCAGAAACAGGGAAGGAATGTGTATGCACAGCAAATACTTTATCTATTAAGCCACCTCCTTAGCCCCTACAACACGTTTTGATACATACACACTACAGGATGGTCAAATCTAGCTAAGCAACATACCTACTACTTAGCAGTCGCTATTTTTTGTGATGAAAATATTTTGAAGATTATATCATATTACTAATTCTGTCGTCAAGTTGTACAGCAAATCTCCTAGATTTACTCTTCTTTCCTAACTGGTATATCCTTTAGCCAACCTCTTCCCACTCACCTCCAGCCATCCCAGCAACTATTAGCTATCATTGTGCTTTTTCTCCTAGAAGATCAGCTTTCTGAGATGCCACATGAATGAGACTTTAAGGTATTTGTCTTTCTGTGCCTGACTTATTTTGTTTAACACAGTGTTCCAGGTTCACAAACAGTGTTGCAAATGGACAGGAGTTTGTACCTCTTATAAAGACTGAACAGTATTTTATTGTGCATATACCACATTTTCTTTGCTCATCCACCGATAAGAAACTGTAGTGATTCCATACCTTGGCTGTCAAACACATCTGTCTGACATTGATTTCATGTCCTCTCAGTACATTGCCAGTAACATATATTGATAATTGATAATTGACATATGATTTGGCAATTCTATTTTTGAATTTTAAGGAAACTTTATATAGCTTTTCATCATTTACCTTTCTTAATTACAAATTTCACAATTTGCTTTCCTTAGCTGTTTTCTTTTTATACATTTGGGTTTACTTTACTTAAGTACATTTATATAAAAGATATTTTGATATCTTTATTTCAGTGAATTTCACTTGCCTCAGTAGAGGACAACCTCGAAAGGGAAACAATGTTTTCAAATTCTAGCTACAGACTAAGGCCTGCCAGAGGCTCTGAAGGAAACCTGGTATCTCTTTCTCTCTCGTTCTTTTTTAAGGCAGAATTTAGTAAGTGTAAGAGGATTAGAGGCAGACTGCACCAACTTGGATTTCTCCCTTCAGAGGACAGAAGGAGAAGTGTAAAGGGGATCATTTTCTCAGCATGTAATTTGCTGCTATCTGACGCCACCATCCACCACAATCTTGATTCTTCTGGGCCAGTTTCCCATGCTCCGGAAGCCATTAGAAGGCAGGGAAGGGGCAGAACTCATTTGCTACAAGCCAACCTGTTTTCAAAGGTGCGCTGTTTGTGCCCATTGGGACTTTTTGATGGCATACATTACATCCTTTTATCATTTTGAATTCCCATCCAAAAATTATAATTTCTATACTCTGAAGAGAAAATTTGGCTTCTTTCAGAATAAATATTAGATTTGGCTATGTGATATGACACATTTCACATTGGTTAAAATTAGCAGTAGAAGAGAAAAAAAATAGCTCCTGAATCCATCTTTATCAGGGAATGATAGAAGCTAAGACAATAGCCCAGAAGTGGGCTTTCAGATTTCTTAAAAGTGTTTTCAAAACTTAGAACCATCTAGATTTAAGTCAGGAAAAATAGTTCTGCCTACCCCTGCCTTTGGAGATAAGGAGTAACCCTGGGATGCCTGCAGATGGTGTTCCCAAGAATAAACATGAGCTAATAAGGGATGATGGACAATACTTCCTAGGCTACTTTCCAAACTACTAAATCTGAGCTCAGAATACGTTGTATTTAACCACCTTTGCAATTTGTTTAAAGAAAAGAAATTTGTGCCTGAAAATATAATATGAATTATTCCAACAGTCAGACACTATTTTGGAACTTATTGTATTGTAACTTATTGTAAACATATCCTTACCCTCAGTATTTTATGGAATGAGTTACACATTTGCTCAGAAGTAGATAGCATACATTTTAGATTCTTCTTTTAGGAAATGAAATTCATACTAAGAACATCTACAAAGCACACAAGAAGTTATTTGCTAGTAAGTTCCTCTTTTCTCTTTCATTTAGTTACTCAACAAGTATTTATTTACTAGTATGTGTCAGCCATTGTTTGGTACACACACACACACACAGAGAGAGAGAGAGAGAGAGAGAGAGAGAGAGAGAGAGAGAGAGAGAGAGAGAGAGAGAGAGAGAGAGAGAGAGAGAGAGGAGAGGAGCCGTAAACAAAAGACCAAGACACAGAAACATCTGCCAATTAGAGATGGCAGATGACATCCCAGTAAACTCCAGGCTCTTTCTGGAGTATGGGCTGAGACAGGATGTTTCCATTTTAAAGAACTTGAGTTGAATTTCACTGTGACTTGTGTTTGAAGGAGTGTCCATGAGGATGGTCCTATTGCTAGTCCATGCATATGTGAGAGTATATAGGAAATAAAACACGAAAAAGAAACAAATCATGTTCCTTGGCTTTTTGGCTTTCCTTTTATCTCCTTATTTTTTGCTGTTTTAGAGAAAAGTTCTGGGAGTAGACCCATGATTTAAATTGGTTATTTGTGGTCCAAGAACTTAACCTTAAACTCGGTACTTGATTAGTACTTAGTAGAAAAAAAATGAGTAACTTTGGCATACAGGTATTTATGGCAAAATCAAAACATAAAAAAAAAGTCATTGCAGGGATCCTTTAACAAAAGATACCCAAATGGTCTCAAGAGGAACCGTTTGTGTTGCCATGTTCTCTCAGAACTGCCTGGGACTGCCTCCAAGAAATTCTGAAACTGTGTAATCTCTCCCAGAGGACCTTCAGAGAAAAATCCAACTCCATAGCTGCTACCTTGCAGAGTGGATCCCTTTTCCTACCGTTAACCAAGCACTAGGGCACCAGGGGGTGGTTGAAGACCCTGCTGCACTGAGGCCAGGGAGGCAGTGGGTGTTCAGGGACCAGAGGGTGAGGCATGTGACAGGAGTTGGTGCTGGCTCCTCCGAGTTGTCTCACATCCAGGTGAGTACCTCAGTTCTTTCCCAGCAGTCGTTGACCCCAGTGTCCTCATGCAGAACTGGATGCCTAGAAGCTTAAATTTTTCTCTTTCATTTTCTTTCCTCCCACCAACTCCCCCAGCACCATAGGGCATTTAAGCAAATCAAAGTGGGCCTAGAATGCCATTCTTACTGTGGGAAGAACACACTATCTAATGTGCCCAGAAAACAAACAAGGAAGGACTTGAGTGTTTAGCTGTAGAAATACCAGCTACCAGTCAATCTCTGGTCACATTTCCTTATCTGTATCACCTTCAGCACGGCAGGTCCACGGTCTGTAGAGCATCGAATGCGGTCATTCCAGGGAAGGTTATGCAGTGCAGGTGAAAACCAATAGCTATGTCCCGTAAAGTGCTCCCCACCCCCACCCCAGTTTTTCAAAACCAACAATGTTTGCAAGCCATCAGGGTTCCTGTGAAGAATTAGAAGAATTTTGTGGATTTCATTGCTCAACTACCCATTAACCTCTACCTTTCCACACCAGCCAAGAAACTGTCTCAGCAGTCTGGACTTCACTGCAACCACCCAAATTAGCTTTCCCTTTGGAGAGCTGGGCCACAGCTGCATACACCCTGAAAATTAGAGTGGTGGAGAAAAACTGCCAGTAGTGATTTTTTTCCTGAAAAATTGGAGGAACTAAGCATATTTATTTAAAATACCAACTATTCCAGATAGACCTTGTCAGTAACAGGGAAGATATTTCAGTTTAAATGTACATATATGCATTTAACAACGTAGTTATGTTTATATATTTAAGTAATATTTATTCCGTTGACATCACTCATTTATAGAACATGTTTTTACAAAAACAAGAAAAGGTTTATTTAATAAGGTCTTTTTCTTTCAATATTATCATCCCGTCCATTGTTGCAACATAAAGATGTGGTTGAAGAATTTCTCTTCTCAAAGAATGCCTTGTATCCCCTTCAACCAAGTAGGCACACTCTGGGAGGCCAGCCAGGAAGTGGGAACAGCCTCCTATATAAAACTAGATTTTTATATGTACACTAAAACAGGATTCTACCTGTATTACAGAAGGGCATACCATTAAAACTTGAGTACTTCTTTTTTTATTTTGCAAAGGAAGGCAAAAATATATTTAATATTTATTTTTCTAATTTCTGGCAATCGCTTCAATTTTGAAGGTGCTTTAATGCTTTCTTCGACTAGAAAAGTTTATGCAAAGCAAGCTCAAAATTTCTACAGCGTGCGTGCCTTAAGAACTCTATTTTGACACACTCCAGGACAGCACCGGTGGTGTCATTTGCTTACAGGAAGCCAACAGGGACCAGCCATAGGTTTTTCAGAGGGTGAAAGTTACCAGGCCAGAGGGTTCCCTTTCCTCCCTTCTCAACCCAGGCCCAGGCGAGGGTGGGGACAGGGCGGGGTGGGCGAGGTGGAGCCCCGCGGCACCTGTGGGCCAGCTCAGTGCGCGGCCAGCTTGCCCAGCGCGGGTGGGGCGGCCCGGGCACGTTCGGCTCTCAGTCCCCCCGCTGTCCCCCCTTGTCCCTCCCGCCCCGTACCCGGGCTGGCGGGCGCGGGGCTTGGCAGGCAGCTATGTCTGCGGCACCACGGCCGCATCCTCCCCGGGCCGCGTCCCCGCGCGCCCACCCGCGCGCTCCCAGCTGCCGTGGGAATGGGCCGCCCCCGGGACCGCGCCGAGCCTCAGCCCCGCCGGCCCCCACCCCCGCCCCGCGGCCGCCCACGCCGGGATCTGCGTCACTCGGCCGCGCGTGGGCGGGAGCCGGAGCGGCGAATGGAGCAAGAGCGGAATCTCCCGATGTGACAGCGCGCGGGGCGGGGGCGGGGGCGGCGGAGGTGGCGGGGGAGGGAGAAGGGGAGGGAGGGGCGGCGGGAGAGGCCGAGGGAGGGCGCCCCGGGCCGCCGCCGCCCGCCTCCGCCTGAGCCTCCGCCCGCGCGGCCGAGCGAGCGCCGTCGGGGCGGGCGGGGGACGGAGCGCGCGCCCACCGCGTCCCTGCCCCCCTCGATGGGCGCGGGGGCGTCCCGGTCGCTGCAGCCGCCGCAGGAGCCGGGCTGAGCCGTCGTCGCGGAGCGCGCCGCAGCCGCGGGCCGCGTAGGTACCGGGCGGGCCTGGGGCTGGAGCAGGGGGTGGGGGGCCGCGGGCGGGCGCGTGGCTCCGCGGGGCTGCCGTGTCCTCCCGGGCGGGGGGCGCGGGCCGGGGTGGGGGTGGGGGCGCCCGCCCGCCCGCCCGCCCGCTCGCCCGCGTGGGGAGCCAGCGCCGCCGCGATCGGGGACTTCCTAAAAGTGCCGCTCAGTCTCGGTTTTCTTCCTGTTATCCGCCCCTTCCTACTGTAGTTCTGTTTTCAAAGCGGAAGGAGAGTTTTTGCTTGGAAGTGGCTCGCAGAAACTTGGCACCCAGGTGCAGGGAAGCTAGATCGCCGAGCCTCTGAGGCTGAGTGGGGAGTGTGCAGACACGTGTAGGACGTAGAAGCTTTGGATGCAGGTGTGTGTGTGACCTTACGGGGGACAAACGCCGAAGTACGGTCCAGCCGGAGATCTGCAAAGAGGCTCCTGGGGGTAGAGCTGGAATGTGCGTTTGTAGGTTGCGCAGACCAAGTTTTGCAGCGGCCGACCAGGAGGAACCATGTCCTGGCTCAGGGAGGCTTGGGAAATTTTGGAGCGCCTGTTAATTTACAGTTTGATCCGAAAGAGCTGGTTTTGGAGTAACTTGTCACTACTGATTGGTTTGCCAGTGACGTGCCTGCCAACTTTAAGGGAGTGCAAAGATCAGACTCTCTGAGGGAGATTCTGGGATCTCGTTTAAAAATATTTTGGCAGTTTTAATAGGTAATATTAGATTGCAGAGGAGCCGGATTTGAAATAGATTAGTCACATCCGAAATGCTTCGCTGTTTTGTACACGCAGCAAATTACCCTTTTTAAGTATTCACTTTTTTGAAATTTCTTTCTTTGTGGAATATGTTATGATATTTATAATTCCTGTTCCGGCTTTGAGAAGAGATATTGGAAAGGATGCATAGGCTGCTCTGGGTGGGGGCTATCTTCCCGAGGTTGAAAGAGCTGCCTCACTCTCTGCTTATGTGCCAGTACAAGCGACTTTGATTGAAGGATCCTTCCTCCACCTTGCATCATTTGAGACGTTTAGTTCTGTCCTTTCATTAAGCGTAAGCAGATTAGTAAGGATGTTGTTGAGAATTTGTAGATGGCCATCAAGGTCGGCTTTCTTCATCCCCGTTTCCAGTTCAGATATGGAGAGAAAATAATCTCAAGGAACCTTAGGGCAATTTTTGTTTGTACTTTTTTGACGTGAACATCTTTGCACTACTGTTCTGTGGGGCTGTACCAGTAGCAACCGTAAATAAAACACTGAGGCATTGGATGTTTTTATCTCATTCTGTCCCTTGGATGTGACTATATTTCAGATGACCAATTCTTAATATCGATATGGCGGAGACAGGAAATTTTAATGAGCTGTTATGTCTAATAAATTACATCATAAGTAAATGAATGTAATTGTATAATCTTAACCAAGCTACAAGTTTTCCTTTTGTGTTTCGGTTAGCAGCAACCACTGCCCTATAGAAAACCTAGCCTGTAGCTAAAGCATTTCATTTTTCCTTCACCTTTAAGGCCATAATTTATTAAAATTTGTACTGTAGTTGCTTTGAAAGACAAAATTGTGAAGTGAGGCAGAGCTTTGAAGAATCTGTTTGATGAACACATTTTAGAGGAAAAATTGGTTGGGTGGAAACAAGGGTGTTAGATTTTTGTGTTTGGTGACTTAGAATCTGTGCTAGAGTTAGGCCTTAACTTTCATTGTAATACACCTGTTTTTTTGTTGCGTCTGTTTTTAGAGAAAAGCTCTGTATTTATCATAATGTGAAGCTGTTCTGGATATCACAGGGCCATCATATATATTATGACTTTCATGAAAGTGACCATTTTATGAACAGTTTAAGATCTTACTAATATTCACCTCCTGTGTGTGTGCATATTTCATTGTGGATTTTATCAGATGTATTGCAGAATAAAAAACGGCAACTCGAGTGTAGTGTAAGGTTGCTAGCTGCTTTGCTTGGGTCTCACTTGCTTCTTTTGATCCCTTGAGTGGTAGAAGAATAGTGTGGTTATTATAGTAAGTGCAGATTTCCTTTCTGATCTGACATGTTCAATAACTCATAAAACAGTAGAATATACTCTCTCATCTTGGTAATGGAACAAGAGGGAAATTTCAGAAGTTGATGCTGGGGAAAAAGCATTAATCCTCATCTTGAGAATTCTCACAGCTAAAACATATCATTAAACTTTCAAATAGTATGTCATTTTTCAACACACTGTATTTAAGGGCTGTGTATTCATTTACATGGTGTGTTAACACTTCTCACAGAGGAACTTCTGAAGACCATCAGGTTTATACGAGTATACTTTTTGCCTGCAGTCTATCCAGATGCTCTTAATGCCTGTCAGATGCCTTTCCTATTGGCGGAAGCAGACCCAACCGTCATGTGAGATGCTAGTGTTTGTGGATAATAATGTGTAGCTGTGTGATTTGTCTCTCTCTAATTTTAATAAACATGTTTTGACTTTCCCTTTGATTCTTTGGACTGAATTAAAAGTGGTCTCTCAAAAAGCTGTTCCCAGTTTCATTCAGAATTGAGGGAAGAATCCATAGGGAAGAGCACTTCAGTTTTCCCAAATTAGCATGAATTCATTAGAAGCCAAGGGTGTAATCCATAGCTGTGTGAGAAAGAAGACTTGAGATTGCCTTGAGTTAATACTTACCACTGTGGGCTCGAGGGTGTAGCTCATGGTAGAGTGTGAGCATCAACAAAATCCCAAACAGGATGGACATCACCCTATGCTTTCCAGTGAGTGTGTCTAGGGGTGTCTTTTGGAACTTGGAACACACAGTAACTGATAAGTATCCAGGAGAAGGCTGCAGTCTTAACCCATGGGACACGTCTGAACCATAGCTGAGCCACATGTAGATGTTTTTAGCTTTGAGTTCTGGATTCTAGTATTAGAAATGAGAAAATGCCATCTCCTACAGGCTCCTCCTTTCCTACTTTGAGTCTCATCATTTGCCGTGGTTACTGCTGGCATGTCAGAGGCCTTAAGGCCAATGCGCTCTTCATATTTAAAGTTTCACTTGTTAAGGGCAGCAGACCTCACTTAGATGCTAACAGATAAACAGTCTAATGAAATTAATTCCCCTTTATCTGTAAGCGATGCATGCCATCTTCACTAAGATTTAACATAATGCTTTCTAAGAGGTTGTTATTAACTCTGAAACCTTGAAGTGAAAACTCAGGCTATGTTGCATAAGTCATGCCTTACCAAGATTTTTTCCGCTTGGTTCCTCGCTAGTCCTCGAGTATTCTGGACTGCCACAGACTTCCCGAAAGCATGTAGAAGATATATGCTGAGGTTCTCAATGTGTGTGTGACAATCATTGTCACAGCATTGAGGGAAAATATGTAAGAACAGACACGAATCTGTTAAAGGTAATGATGATTTAGGAGATGCTTTCTGTTTCTTTGAGACACACTGTATTGGATTTTTAGGAAGACAGGCAAAAATGATCCAGGACCTCTCATGATCCAACTAAATTCTTAAAAAATGCTGATTTAAGGGGATGACTTCATGCACAATACATGTTACTCTTCTGACCACGTTCAGTTCCTTACTGGATACATAGCCTGTCAGGAGAGTCTGTACCATAGTCCTTTGTGAAAGTGAAGCATTTCAGATAAGAGAGAGAGGATAGTAGATAGAGGTGTGGCTGGATTGGAAGTTTACTGGGGCAGCCATTGACTGAGGTATCCCTTTCGAGATACGAAAGGAGGCTGCTGACTGACTCACACATTGGGTTTCACGGTACCGAAGTCTATAGAAATAGTATTCCACTTAGAACACTGCTGAGAATGAAGGGGAGGTAAAGATTAATGACACCTCATTTGTATCCGCAGCGTGCCTGTAACCAAACAGCACCTTGTTTTCAGAGCTGGGTTAAGTCCTTCATTCTGTAGCCCCTTTCGTGTAGTGGTTATCGCAGTACTGAAAACATGGGCTTCTGCATAACTGGCTCTTCATGAAGGACTCTTTTCTCTGTGTCCCTAGACCTGCCTCAGAGCTTCACAAGTTGGAATAAGTAAGAAATAACTGGAAAGGGTGTTGGGCAGAAAGGGAGGAAAACATTACTGTGGGCAAGTCTGAAAATCGAGAGAAAATCTATAGCCAGGCTGTGTATGAACATTTTTATGGGAAAGGCTACAGGGGAATGCCCAGGACAGGTTTGAAAGGCAGGTTTAGGTGGAGGATGCCAGTATGAGTAGTTTAGATCACTTGTGTTAAACAGTGGGGGGAGCTTGCGGAGAAGAGTGAAAAGCCATGTCTTCATTGAAGTGGGGGCGGGGCGGGGAGGGGGTGGAGCAATGAGAACCAGAATGGGGTGCTTTGGGAAAAGAGAGAACGAGGCTGATGATGCAGCCTAAGTACATGCAGATTTAGAAAAAGAATTGGAGGAAACAAAGATGAAACATTTTATTAATCAGAGAAATAGGAAAATTGGTGCAATGAGAAGGATGGGAGGGGTTGCAGGTCTGGGAATTGGAAGACAGGAGGAAGAAGAGACCATGCCTCGTTTTGGGGCTCACCGAGCACGATGTGGTGGTCCTCGGGTTTGGCAGTCCCTTGGGTGATGCCAAATTACAATCCAGAAGAACAATTCAGGCTCATCATTCTCAAGTATTTCAGGTCTGAGAATCACCTTTTCAAACAAAATCCTGTGAATACTCAGGATTACTTTACTTGAACATTGTTCATTGAGAATACATGGAATGTTCTCCTAGTAACTGATTTAGTTACACTTTAGTTCACTTTGTATCTTATGAAGTTAGAAAAGTGTTCTTAATAATTCGTAATGAAAACTTCATTTTTGCTTTGAGATCTCTTTGTAGTGACTCCATATTCTGCCCATGAATTACCCCCACCAAGCCACAGGTTCTTAAAATACAGGTCATGACCCCATGCAGGATCATGTAATTCAGTGTGTGTGGCGTTGTAGATTTTGGCAATAGTAAAAGGTTTATGAACTCAACAAGAATCAGAAAAATAAATAAAAGATTTAAAATTACAGGTGTAATGATGCTGAGACGCTTCTTTACTGAGGCCTTGGTTCTGAACACACACACACACTCACACACACTCACACACACTCACACACACACTCACACACACACTCACACACACACACACACACACACACGCACCTTTGAACCGTATAGCCTTCGCTCCACAGAATATCCACAAGAGCAACTAGAAACCTGTTGACTCACATTTGAGACTGTTACAGTTTATGAATTACATTGTTTTTACTGTACATGCAAAGCTTTCTGCTTTTATAGAAACTAATATTTTAGATGCAGAAAACAAAGACTGTTTTTCTGCCATCCTTCTGTAGCGGGTTAGTATCTAATTAGCATGTCTGTGGATTGATTATATTAGGATGTTTGATTTTAAAAATTGCTGTTTTGAGTTGCTGACAAGTTTTGTACATACACAAATTTATTAAATAAATTTTGGCTTAAGATTGGGACAGAATTACTAACCGTTTCTGAAATGGCCCTAAACACACTGCTGCCATTTTGTTTTACATATTTATGTGAAGCATGGACGATTATAACATAAGAATATTGATCAGCTCTGAAAATCAGTGCAGGTGCTGTGTGTCCTGCAGCTTCATAAACTCAAACAAGATTCACTCTTTCTATAAAGACAGGCACTCCACCTCCTCAGTATGTAAATTTGCTTTCATCTTTACTAAATGTAAAATTACATGTTTACTTAAAGAATTGTTTTTGAAAAAGACTTCCTTATGGTTTATTGTCAGTAAATGTTTGGCTTGTAGTCACACACACACACATACACACACACACACACACACACACACACGTAGAACAAGTTGAAGAAATCCTGGCCAAAGCCACAGACACAGATTTGGTGACTGACTGCAATAACAGTTGACCCTTGGGTGTAGGAGAGACCATGAAAGAATAATGCGACAGACGAGAAAAGAGATGAAGTTCAAAACTAGCGGAGATGTTGGTAGTGTTCCACACCTGTACTGAAATCTCAGCACTAACGAAGGAGGCTGTGGCAGAGGACCACCTAAGACTAGTCCAGCCATCATAGTAAATTCCTTTCCATGCTAACAACATCTTCAAAGAGTGCCTGAACTTAGAATATAATGAGGGAAGGAAATGAGAGTGCCCTTACCAGAGTCAAATGACAATGTCTTAGGGCACGGCAGATGGCAGGGAGATTGTAGGAGAGCCCTGATGAAAACTCTGTAGTCCCCTGAGATTTTGGATAGCCCAGTGGGTCCTGATACAGCAGGCTTGATGACCGTGAAAGCCCCCCTGTGTCTTACCCTGAATCTTCAGCCCCAGCCCTGGAACATTCTGTTCCCCTAGCAAAGTAAGAGATGAGCTGTGACCAGACAGCTGTTCATTCCACTTAGCACAGCCTGAACCAGGCAGGTGACTGATGCTACTCACTGAGCTGCTGTGAGAAACATTGTGTGAGGTTTAGGATCATCGTGTGAGGTTACCATTTAGTGAACAATAAGCAGTCTAGAACTAATTCTTATTTAATTTTTTCTTGTGGTTTTAAATTCGTCTTTCTAATGCTGTGGTTCTTCTTGTAAGGATTGCATGCTTTACAGGGGCAGCAGGGCCTGGGTTACCTTTGGGAAACAGCAAGGATGAGTCAATGGTTTCTTTAAACCATGGGTTTTGTGAAAAGGCCAGGCTCGACTTGGTGCTCCATTAGTGTAGTGGGGCAGCCAGGCACGGTCACTTTTCGCTTAGTGGATTTATTGAATCATCAGCTACCCGCATGTGTCAGTGTGTTGGGACCCCTTGATGCCCGGCTCAGAGAGACTCAGGCACAGCTTCTTTTCAGCTAATGTGACCTTCATATTGACGCATGAATGCTCCCAGGTTTTGTGGAAACAGAAAATCTCATAGGAGTTTTAAATCGAATCAAGCTAATGTATGAAGCGGTGGGTGTTTAAATGATCGCAGCGGGCTTTGGAGGAGACTGTGCAGTCTCAGCAGGAAAGCTTGGGGAGAGACCTCCACTCCCCACCGTGCAGTGCTGCAGGTGCTGCAGGTGGGGGTCTTCAGAAAGCCTCCTGGGGTTCTGAGTAGTATGTCCATCTTTTGCTTGTTATTTTGGTTTTGGAAGTGTACACCTGTTCCCACCATTCTTTACATAGTTAGCTGTTTTCCCAAGTCTGCAAGGACTTGCTCTCAAGAACTAGGAGGTTTGGTAAAGTACAAGAGAAGGGATAAGACTTGAAAACTGCAATTTTGTAAAACCATTGCCTCAGAAGACTACAATCTAAGTTCAAGTCTTTTGGGTCCTAAGATCCTTTAATATTTGTATATTTGTCTAATAAATACTCTTTTTCTCTCATTGTTATAAAATGACTGAAAGGTTCAGTTAACCTAAATGTTATCGGGAACTGTTTCCTATAGTCCATGATCTGGGAAAAATACGGTGAGTTAGTGTAGCCTTTGGTCCTGCAAGGTTGCAGTCCTCTTCCAGAAAAGACTGCATATACATACTTTTTTTCACGTGGATTTGTTTTCTCTGTACTAGTGTCAGAGCATGCAGAGCAGCTGCAATAGGTAAGGTTTTTTTTTTTTGTTTGGTTGGTTTCTTTTTTTTGCTTCCGCCCCAGACATACTCCTGCAGTCCTTCTGTTTGCTACGGTGTGCTTCAATGCACGCTTAAACATGCAGGTACTCTCAAGGCTGGGTTTTGGGGGCTAGTGTCCAATTCTGTGGTAGACCCTGCCTAGATGGGTCCTCACTGAGGTGACTTAGAAGACAGAGGCTTTTGCTCGGAGGAGCGAGATGGTTGGACAACAGTGGTAGACCTGAGGTTCTGAGGCCTCAGAGAGCGTGCAGTTTTTTGTAGATGTATAGACTGAGAATCTTCTTGTAAGTTCGCATCATTTGCCAAATCCAGAGTCTCACACAATGAAGCTGAGGGACAAAAGCACACTGGATGTGTTTCCTTTTCAGGTGTCAGCAGAAGCCACCGGGCAATCCTTAATAGCTTTTCAGTCTGTTGAAAATTCATGAGACCATGCCTAGTGCATGTAAATAGAGAGCCATGGAGTTGGAGGAGGTTGGTAGTTGATCGGAATGTGGGTTTCAGGGGTCCCGGGAGATAGTGCTGAGCAGGCAGTTCTTAGGTAATAGACTCCTTACGTAGTGGGGGTGGGGGACGAAATTGTCATTTCTGTAGCATTCTAGTTGGTACCTTTTGAAAACAGGTCAGAACATGGTGACTTTCTGTCTTCCAGTGTGCTCCAAGCACTCTGCTTCTGCTGCCTCCAGGCATCTGCCCTCTGCAGTAGAGTTGCCCCCCCCCGTGGTGTGAGGGTGTTGCCCCCTTTCAATTTATGGGTGTGTTGGTCATAAGGTTGCTTTGTTTAGTGGGGTACTTGCCACCTCTCCTTCCTTTCCTGAGCTCGTGGGAATTGTTGATAAATGACAACTGCCCCTTCCTTATCCCATATGTCTGAGTGATCACACATTTCACAGCTCCTTCCCTCACCCCACCCATCTCTAACTATGCTACCTATTTTCTTACCTTCAATTCATATTGAAGTCTCTTCACTGGCTAAATTATACATTGAGGTGCGTAGTGTTTCTCAGGGGGCTTACATGAAGATTAGACATAATATGATAGTGTTTATCATGTTGCCGGGCACAAACAAGAGTTCAGTGAATGGTATTGTAATGGTTTCTTTCTTCCTATTAATTTTTATTCCTCTTTATCACCATGTCCACACCGTGAAGGGAAGAAAATGTAAAGCTGACAATGTGGGATAAACTCTGAGAGCATTGGTCTCGGTTCCCAATCCGTGTTTAGTGGCTGTTCTCCTTTGAAAACATAGGTCAGTTTAGCGACTGACTTTGAGTACAGACTCGGATAAAATATGTGTGTTGGGAGAGAGCGTGATTACCTATCAATTGCTCTGCAGATGCGTGGTGTCTTGTTCTGCCTGTGTTGCCTGTCTAAATCTTGCAATGTCTCAACCCACTTATGAAGCTTGGCGCAAGTGTGGTGAGTCTTTTCTCTCTTCTGTTTGTAGGTTAAGCCCATCCACAGTAATGGCCACAGCCTTACCCAGAACCCTGGGGGAGCTGCAGCTGTATAGAATATTGCAGAAAGCCAACCTGCTTTCTTACTTTGATGCCTTCATTCAACAAGGTGGTGATGATGTCCAGCAGCTTTGTGAAGCTGGTGAAGAGGAATTTTTGGAAATCATGGCACTCGTGGGCATGGCAAGCAAGCCCCTTCACGTTAGAAGGCTACAGAAGGCTTTGAGAGACTGGGTTACAAACCCTGGCCTTTTCAACCAGCCGCTGACTTCCCTTCCCGTCAGTAGCATACCCATCTATAAGTTACCAGAGGGATCGCCAACGTGGTTGGGAATATCCTGCAATAGTTACGAAAGGAATAGCAGTGCGCGGGAACCACATTTAAAAATCCCTAAGTGTGCCGCCACCACGTGTGTGCAGAGCTTGGGTCAGGGCAAGTCAGAGGTGGGGAGTTTGGCACTACAGAGTGTCAGTGAATCCAGACTCTGGCAAGGGCACCATGCCACCGAGAGTGAGCACAGCCTCTCCCCAGCAGACCTGGGCTCCCCGGCCTCGCCAAAGGAGAGCAGCGAGGCCCTGGATGCTGCCGCCGCGCTCTCTGTGGCTGAGTGCGTGGAGCGGATGGCCTCCACACTGCCCAAAAGTGACTTGAATGAAGTGAAAGAGCTGCTCAAGAACAATAAGAAGTTGGCCAAAATGATCGGTCACATCTTCGAGATGAGTGACGAAGACCCACACAAAGAAGAGGAGATTCGAAAGTACAGCGCCATCTATGGGCGATTCGACTCCAAGAGAAAGGATGGCAAACACCTCACATTGCATGAGGTAAGGAACGTGTGTGTGTGTGTGTGTGTATGTGTACGCTGTTCCCTGCAGATAGTTTGCTGATGGCTAACCTGTGTGTGTCTGTGTGTCTGTGTGTCTGTGTGTGTACATGCTGTTCCCTGCAGAGAGTTTGCCGATGGAAAGGATGGCAAACACCTCACATTGCATGAGGTAAGGAACGTGTGTGTGTGTGTGTGTGTGTGTGTGTGTGTGTGTGTGTGTACGCTGTTCCCTGCAGATAGTTTGCTGATAGCTAACCTGTGTGTGTGTGTGTGTGTGTCCGTGTGTGTCCGTGTGTGTGTGTGTGTGTTTGTGTGTCTGTGTGTGTGTGTGTCTGTGTGTGTACATGCTGTTCCCTGCAGAGAGTTTGCCGATGGCTTGCCGGGGAGGAACATCCCTAAAAATACTGAAGTGTGCCAGCTCTCTTGTGAGCAGGTTGCCCTAGGGTCGTCTTGTGTTGAACTCAAACTCATTTGAGTTTTAAATTTGCGGTGTAAGGTAGCTTTTGAAAACTGTCAGAATTCAAGCAGTGAAGCATAAACTTTGTATTTGCAAGGTGTTTTGTCTTTTAGTTAAGAAATAAAATAGGATTTTGAAAGTGGAATACTTTCTAAATACTTTTTTGGCAAACCTTTTTAAGAAAACAACAACAAAAACGACATAAAATGACCAGAACATAAGGCAGTTTCCAGCTAGTGTGGAAAACAGAGTTGTGGTAGATGAATGTTGGAGGTGCGATTATAGTTTTGAATTTTGCTTTGGTTAGATGCCTGGTATACAAAGGTCTCATTGTTTTATCTCCACAGCACTTTCTCCAGCAGTTCTGTTTAAGCGTGCATATGTGCATGTATATATACACACATATGTTGAATGTTACCTCCTTTGTGTATGTGCATATATCTTGGTACTTTCTTGCTTCCTCTTGTTATCTGGCTACATCGATCTTGAAAATTCAGTGCACATGTAAGCTTGTCTTTGCTGTGATCTTTTCTTCCAAGCAGAATGGCGTATCCATTTCCTTTTCATCCTGTGTCCACCTTTGCCACGGTGGCTCTAGAACACTCTGTTGTAGTGTTTGTACCCTGGTCCATCCCTTGCTGCCTAATGGCTTTTCTACTTTTTACCCCTAGATCCTAATGTATCCAGTGAGTGCTTAGAAAATGATGCATTTCAGAAGTGAAAAAAAAAAGACTTTTGTTGGTGAGATTTTTTTAAAATAAACACATTCTGAGGAATAACCCCTCAGGAAAAAATTTAGGTTGAATGTAGTATTTAATTCAGTATTGTGTTCTTTCCCCTAGTCTTGCCCTTTAATATCAAAAGGTACATACATTCTTTATGAAGGTATTCTGATACAGAAGGATGTAAATTACTTACTTGTACACTTCCAAAGAGTTATCTTTACGTGTACAGACATGAGGTCATGTTCCACAAACCGTTTTTCCAAATTCCCTTGTTGGTGGTGAAACACCATGCTTCCACAGAGAGCTGCCCAGTTAGTTCACTGTGGGATGAATTATGGGCCAGCGTTCACCTTAACTCTTCGTTTCGCAGGGTCATTTTGGTTGTAGTCAGTTTAAAACATTTACATATACTAGTATGTGAACATTATGGCATACACTTAGAAGTATTTATTATTTTTAATTAAATCTATGGGTCTCTTGTATAGGTATATGTGTTGGTGCCCATGGAGGCCACCTGTGTCAGATCTCCTTGAGCTGGAGTTATAGGCAGCTGTAAGCCACCTGACATGGGTGCTGGGAATTGAGCTAGGGTCCTCTGCAAGAACAGTATGCACTCCTAACCATTGATCCATCTCCAGCCCCAATTACCCACACCCTTTTTACAATCTTGTATGTATCTTCTGTGGGATGGATCCCGACATTTAAACTGTGGGATCAGGGAGTATGCAGATGTGATGTTTCAATCTACTGCTAATTGCTGCTAAATCACATCCTTAAAGGCAGGAAACATTGTGCTTCCATCATTGCTATGAGAGTGTCTGTTTATCCGCAACTTGCTAGTAATGAGTTTTACATTGTAACCTTTGCCAGTGTTAACTGATTAAAAACTTAAAGCTCAGATTTTCATTTCCTTGCTAGAGCGATGAGTTTCTGTTCATAAAACTCTCCTAGTAGTGCAGTTGTCCTTTTAAAAATTGATTGGTTCTGGGCCAAGTGGCACACACCTTTAGTCCCAGCACTCAGGAGGCAGAGACAGTCTGATCTCTGAGTTTGAGACCAGTGTGAAATACATAGTGAGTTCCAGGACAGCTAGGGTTATATAGTGAGATCCTGTCTCAAAAACAAAAACAAAAAATCAAAACCAAAAGACCAAACAAAACGAAGATTGGTGAGAACTTCTTATATTTTATGGACATGAACCTTGTCTTATATAATACTGTTTCTCCACATGATCATTCTTCCTCTGACGTTTCACTGTTTTACTTAGTTGTATTTGTTGATCTGATCCTGTTTGGTGCAGCTGGGTTTTGTGTCCCTCTCCAGCATAGACTGTATAAACCCGGCAGTGTTATGATACCGTCGGCCACATAGAGGAACAAGTACTTCTGTACTCGCACGTTACAACTTTTCTGGGCTTTGTTTTGTTAATTTTATATACTCTTCCTATCCAAATAAAATTCTAGATACATTTATCAAGTTTCTAAAAGGTGTGCTATTTTAGTTAGAAATGTTTTACCGTGTAGGTTAACTTGGTAATAGTTGGCATATTTATAATAATGGGACCTATATGGGAGTACGGAAAATGGTTTTCCCTATTTAGACCTTTTACCTTCCTCAGTAATTAATTTTGTAATTCTTTTATTCACATATATTTTGTACATTTCTTATTTGGTTAAATTCTGTATATGTTGAATGTCTATATTAATATATATTTAATTTTTTCTCTGCTTTAAAGGTATGAGTAGATATGAAAGGATGTGAGAATTTTCTTCCCTCACTGCCCTTTTAATGACTGTCACTAGTTGGTTTTCAGCAATTTCACCAGCTGGCCTTTTAAAAAAGGTTTTGGATATGAAGGCTGAAGTTTATGACCACAGAATTGTGTAGCAAGAATGACTGATCTGAATGGGCCGGTCTCTTTTGGGATTAGCACACGTAGTTATTGGGTGTCAGCATGTGCCCTGTTTCACAGGAACTCGTGCACCTGAGCGTTTGGATGTTCTTTTATTACCTATAAATGAATAAGGGTATCCAGCAAGAAAACTGTAATTCATATGAAGGGGGTGAAATGTGTTGGTGATTTTAGTTTTATGTTTTAACCTATTTTTAATATAACTTAAAGTTTTGCACATGAAGCACAAAGTTGAGTAAAAGAACCCACTTTTTTATCAAAGTAAAAGTGATTTTTACATGATTAATATCCCTAATCAATTTCACTATGAAAAACATCCTTAAATTAAACAATTTAAGGGAATTGTTTTTATGCCAGGCCTTTGCTGCAGGGCTCTTTGCTAAATAGGTATAGATGGTGTTTAACTCTCATGGGGCTGTCCTAAGTCTCTGAATGACCAGCATAAAATGGGTGCTGGCTGCTGGGAGGCGGGGCAGCACTGGGAGGCGAGGGCAGGACTGGGAGGATTGGGTGAGGGCAGGGCTTTTGGAAAGCCAAGTGCTGGGTGCTGGTAGGTAAGGGCAGAGCTCTGGGAAAGTCATCTTCGGATCTTCTCTTGGACAGCTCTTGTTACTTGGGGCTCAAGTGTGTGAATCTGTCAAAACAACGTGGATGGGAACAGAAGTTAATGAACCCAGCTTTCTCCAACTCTCAGACTCTCTCAGAGCCTGGAGAACAGTGAGAGTCTGAAATTATGAGAGAATAAAAGGTAGAAATGCTGCTGTGACCTTTCAGGCATTATGAAAATATTAACTATGTAAATCAGAGAAAGACTTTTTAATATTTATAAATATTTAAGAAGAAACAATGTTACCAGTTTATCTTCAGCTTCCAAATAAGGAAATATGTGACTTCCTTAGCTCCATCTAACTGTTCTGAGAGGTTTTTTGTTATTGTTGTTTTTCGTTTTTATAAAAACCTTTGATGCTTTTCTTTAAATCTTTCATAGCCAAGTGTTGTCTGTAGTTAGTAGTGTTTTGTAGTGGCATCTCTGACACCAGGCTGGGAAAAGTCAACTCCAACAAGTCCATAGGTTTTTTTTTTTCTTGTAAACATTTTTGTATTTGTTCCCCAAAGCATTAAATCCTCTACAGTAAAGAACTACACAATAGAACATTGTTCTGTGCGTTCAAAGTTAAAGAGTAGATTATTGGTGTGCACATACACCACACACACATAGTGCCGGGCAATGCCAAAGCTTAGAACCACTCACACTCTTGGTGTGGGGCAGGTGCTGAAGGGCCAGGGACAACCCCAGGTGTGGTACTAGGGATTTCAGCAGGCAGAGATCTCACCTGTCCACACGTGCAGTAGGAGATAAGGTGGTGACGAAGGCAGGCGGTGTGCTGCGGATCTTGAGTCCATGGATGATAAGAAATAAACTGAAAACTGGAAACCGCAGGGACTTAGCGTGCAGAAACATAAGCACATCAGCGGTTTGCACTGCACAGTATCTGTCAGCTGATCAAGGGACTCTGGAAAAACATGGCAATTATAGTTCCACCAAAACTGTGGGCACTCGGCTGCTAAGAAGTCACCAAGATAAAGCCCCAGGCCCATGAAACAGTCTGCTGCCGATTCAGTCTAAGAATCCAGAGATGAGATGTTGCAGAAGATTCCAGCAGTTTGGGTTTCCAGAGAAGAAACACTGGATCTGGGACTCTCCCAAACAAGAACACGCAGAGCAGGTGCTTTTCGGCTCCTAGCACTTGAAAAGAGGTTTTCTTTGGATGGCTTTAAGAAATACATTGTAGGGCTGTTAAGGTAGTCTGTTTCTTCTGGAATCACCTGGTAAGTTTACATTTTTCTAAACATGTCGAGTAAATTTGTCTTCAAACACTGGCACGAAGTTATTTATAGTTTTT